CTTAACAGTTGAGAGAAATGAAGCCCAGACAATGACCTGTCCAAGGTAACACAGCGTCAGCAGTGAAATCAGAACCAAGGGATCCGATGCCAGAATCAATACTCTTTCCATTGTGCCAAGGATTTCCTCAGTGTACCTGGACAGGATATTGCCAGCAACAGTGGTCTAAAGAAGGCTGTGCCTTTGGAAAATTTTCCTTGGAAACCCTGAATTGGATTTATGCCATTTCTTAGAGCTGTCTTAAGAGTTAAAAAAAAAAAAAACCATTTCTGGACATTTTGCTAACATAGGTTTTTGGCACAGTCTTACTTTTCCCCCTACTTATCTTAGTAAGAGTTTAGGCATAAGCCTCCTCATGCACTGCCTTCAATAAAACAAGAAATCAACCAACTATTAAACAATAGTCCTTAGGTCTATTTCTGTCTAATTCCCTCATTTTTCAGATGCAGAAATTGAGGCCCCAGAGAAACTGAGTGACTTACCCAAAAAGTCATACAGATAAACCTTTCTTCAGCAGGAAGTAAAAATTGTTGCTTATACCTCCTGCTAAGTCAAAAAAGCTATTCCATTAAGAAAGAATCAACATAAAATCAATGTAAAGTCTTACATTAAACTTGATTCAAAAACAGAAGTGTGGTTGAAGTCTATAGAACTCCACTCCTCTTATGCAAAGCCATTGTTTTTCAGGGGGAAAAAAAGTGATTAAAAACTCATAGTTACAAAACTGTGCATACCCTTTGACCCAGCAATACCACTCTTAAATCTATTTTCCAAGGTGATCAGGGAAAAAGGAAATGAACCTTCATGTTTTAAAATATTGGGAGCAGCTCTCTTTGTGGTGGCAAAGAGCTGGAAATTAAGGGTATGTCCATCAATTCGGGAATGACTGAACAGGTTGTGTTACATATCTGTGATAAAATACCACTGTGCTATAAGAAATGATGAGAAGGCTGGTTTTGGAAAAAATGTAGAAAGACATCTGTGAAATAATGCAGAGTGAAACAAGAGAACACTGTATACAGTAAATAGCAATACTGTTCAAAGAGTAACTATGAATGACTAAGCTATTCTGAGTAATGTGATCATTCAAATCAAGTATGAAGGACTTAGGAAGCACAAGGTTATCCACTTCCAGAGAAAGGTCTGATATATAGAAGTATACGTTGTACGGTTCCACATATGTCTCTACGGGATGTTGGCCTTCTCTAATGCATGGTTGGGAGAGAAGGAAAGGGACAACTCAACTCAAAACACAATAAAAAGATAAATGAAAAAATGAATAACTGTGGTTTTTTAAGCCCAAAGCCATTTTCCCCCAAACAAATCAAAAAAAAAAAAAATAGTTTGGAGTTTGGGGTTTTTGAAATTTTTCCCTTTTACTATAGAATCTCACCACCATTCAGGGAATTTTCCCTTTGACTTGGAGTTCCCTTGGCTTTTTTTGCTTGGTTTTCATCACAGGCTGTTTTACATATATAACTTGTAAACGAGATGGTGAATAACCACCCAAAGGATTACTCTTTATTTGCAGTCTCTCAGCAAGGCCCAAATTCAAACTCTCCACAAGGAACGGAGTAGGAGTCTGGACCTCTATTAAAATGCCTTAACCCAAGTTTAAAGCCACTTAGTGGAATGAGGAGGAAAAAAAATCCACTAATGAAACAGCAGGCGATGTGACTGTTGGAGAACAAGCCTAAAGACAAACTAAACCAGAGTTCACTTTGGGTACCTTAGAAAAGTTTTGAACCTCCAAACTCAGTGTCAGACAGGGAAACAAGGGCACAAAATGCCAACACTCTATAATTCAAGAGTCACTATGCCAAAAGGAAGAGGGAAAGGAAGAAAGGCGGGGAGAGGCAGAACAAAGCCTTTGAATAAAACCTCAGATGCCATCAAGATCCTATGCACAGGCTCAACTATCTTACTCCAAATCTGCAGGGCCTCACAGAAATGCCAAATATTTTGCTTAGGACTGCAAATCTGCAACCCAGTTTCAGGTTCTTTCTCTAACATTTAAACACAGTTCTTGACTATTGTTAGAAGGTGGTGTTTTGTTTTTAATGGTAAGAAAGAGTATTGCAGAGTCATAAAATGGAAGACAGAAATTCTTTCAAATCGTCTGTATTTCTATATTCTCTCTTTTCAGCAAAACTCAAGCTCTGTGCGTATATGTATGTGTGTGTTTTCTGTAGGGAGGGAAAAGGGGGATGGATGTGGAAGGAGGGGGAAAAAAACGCCAAAGCACAGAAACTCATTTAAAAAATCAGAAAAATTAAAAGTGTCAAGGGCCACTTTCGGCCCTGTACACAGCCTCCCTCCAGTTCCAGGAGCAGACCACTCTAGAGAGTAGCCTCCTCTCTGTCCTTAAATATCGTCTTGGGAAAGAGATGGATCCTAGCTGTTCTATGGCAACGAAGGGGACTTAGCCCCCAAGTTTCAAGATCTGAATTTGAATTTGCAGGAGATGTCTTCATGCATGCAAGGAGAAAGGTGGCTGAGGTATGAATGTCAAGAGAACTGGCATTAGATTTGCCATATTTAAAATACACATTTGGCCAGTCTACTAATTAGATAAAGAAAATCTCAGAATTGGAGAGCCAAAGTGGCCCCAAGGCACTGGCTTAGTCCAGTGTCCTCCTACAAGGGAAGAGACAAGGCATAGAAAGAATCAACAATTTGCCCAAAGTCACATACTCTATTAGCAGCCAAGATGAGGCTCAAACAAGGACCCCTAACCTAATCCAGGGTACATTCTCCTATATAACAAAGTTTCCAGTTTAAAATAATTTGCAATAACCAATAAATTGTTATTGAAATGATACACAAATGGTCACATCCAACCTTATTCTGGATGAAGGTCTGAAGCAATAGTCTATATTTATTGCTCTTTAGTCATTTTCAGTCGTGTCCAACTCTCTGTGACCCCATTTGGGGTTTTCTTGGCAAAGACACTGGAGGGGTCTGCCATTTCCTTCTCCAGCTCATTTTACAGATGAGGAAACTGGGACAAACAGAGTGAAGTGACTTGCCCAGGGTCACATAGATACTTAAGAGTCAGGCCAGATTTGAACTCAGGAAGAAGAAAATTCCTGACTCCAAGCCCAGTGCTCTCTGCACTGGGCCACTTAGCTTCTCTACAGTGTTCCTAATAAGAGACCCCACACAGAAGATTTTGGAGGGACTGAGCTGTTTACCAAAGTAAAAGCTAGTAAGAGTCTATTCCCATGGCAGGATTGGTCATAGTACCTGTGACCTTGGCACCCACCAGTCAATAACAGAAAAAAGTCACTTCACTTCTATTTCCTCAAGAGTAAAATTAAGGGAGTGAGACTCCATGATCCCTAAGGTTTCTTCAAGCTCTAAAAGTCTCTAAGGCCTTTGGCCTCTGCAGAGGATCTGAGTGGGACAGGAAAAAAAAATGAACCATAAGAAAGTTTTTCTTCTTGCTGTCTGAGAGACATTACTTGAAAGCTGGTCTTGGTGTCAAAACCTGAGTAAGAGATGAAAGTTCTTCCTTCCGGGTGGCCCTTGGCAAGTTGCTCAACCTCAATATGTGCCAGGCAACTCTCCAAAAATATGAAGAGCAAAACAATGGCAGACTGGCATTGGAAGAGAGGGAGCTCCCTTCACCACCAAAAACCACAGGGCCAGATCAAAAGGCTTGTTGTATCTTTTCATCCCTAAGACAGAGGGAAATGATCCCAAATGGCCTGACCCAAACCATGGCACAAACACCCAGGGATGGGGGTCAGGACACCAGAACTACTGATGACTTCTGAAATGGGGTTATTAGAAGTTTCCGCTGCTCCAGGTCAAAGGCCAATATGATGTTATAGAGATGCTAGGGAAGGGCATTTGGGGTTCAGAGACTCTGACTGAGTATAATTCATTGTAGGAAAATTGAACAGAGATAGCTTAGAAAGCAATAGAGCACAGGAGCCGAATGATACTATTGAAATCCACATACATTTCTAGCCTGGGGTAGGGGGATAATTGGAGGGGATGAGAGTAAGGTGGGACTGAACGTCCTGCATCTCGGGTTAGCCAGATGGTTGAAGTTACATCCCACACATACACCCATTGTAAAGAGGCAAGGTAGAAGTGATAATACTTTGGGTAAAGCATTTTTAACACAGAAAAGGATACAAACACTTTCGCTGTCTCTCTTGAGTGGATTGCATTACAATGGCATCACAGGATCTTTGTCTATTTACACGCATGCTTTCAAGTGATTCTCAGTTCCCAGGAGACACTATTCATATTACTAGTCATTTTTAAAAATCTGGAAATCAAGTATAGTTTTAAAACTACACTGAAGATATCTGGAATAGTGCCTAGCATGGAGTAGATATTTAATAAATACTTAGTGAAATACTTACTGAAAAGCTGGTTTTGCAGATGAGTTAAGAATTTTCTATTACTTTATTATAAAAGTTTACCTGCCATTCCACAGCAAGGAGACAAAGAAGTCAGATGCTAAATCTGATAGACAGAAACTAGGAAAACTGAAACTTGAAAAGTCAACCTGTCCTCTGGGAGACTGAGAGAGAGAGGTGTGGTGACAACACTGTAGTAAATCCCCAATGGAGCTTGGGGTCTCCAAAATGGTGCCCAACTTAGGACTGTAGGCTTAACCCAACTACACGTCACATCTGGCTTCTGGAACGGTTTCATCAGTAGCAACTACACAAAATCCATTTGTCAAAAAATGCCAACAACAATATAAGGGGTAATGCATTTTCTTTTTAAATACAAAAAAAGGGCATTTTTTCCCCTGTTCAGTGCCAAGAAATTAGCCTGAAAGTTCAAAATTCCCGTAAAACTAAGTCTGATCATTATGGGAATCACCACTGTACATGAGTATGAAAGTAGTAAACACTTGCTGACAAAAACAAAACACCCAAACATTCTTTCTGTTTCCAAGTGAGAAGCCGGCAGCAGCTGAATATTCCTGGCAGTAATTAAATACATCCAACATAAGATAAAGAAATTTAACCTACCTCATCAAAGCTGCTGTCCTCTTTCTTCAAAGCTTTAAAAGAAAAAAGAAAAGGAAACAGTTATTGTCATGAATTTTGAAAAAAGAGCAAAAGTAACTATGTTGGAAAGCGGGGCTAGAGTGCGGAGAGATGGAGTAACATGGTCTTGTTTCTGAAAGCAAAGACTACACTAGCCTGAATAACAATTTTATGATCAAAATATGAAAGTGAAAATGAGATATGGAATTGCACAGCATGCATCTTTGTGAGATGTTTTTCATAAATATGTAAATCAAACTATCCTTTCAGGTAAGGAAAAATCAAGTTCACAACACATCTTTTCTACCATTCTTATTCACTCTGAAAACATTTCCAGGGAAGTACGCCAAACCAGAATTGTAAAGTAATATTTCCCTTTTTCACATTCATTTGTTGCATGCACCCAAAAATTTTATGCAGGAATTACGGCATGGCGTGTGTGTGTGTTACAAATAGATCAGTCATTATTTCCTATGGATTGGTTCCAATGACACAGCCTCACTCTGCAGAGCATTCCTTGAGCCATCTGACATGACCAGAGAAGTTTAAGTGATGTAAGGGAAAGGTCTGAGGGTGTCAGAACAGCAATGCCAAGGAGAAAATATATTTTGGCCATTTTTTGGTACAACAATTTCAGCAAGCAAACCCATTGTTCAAGAAGATAATTACTTTGAAAGGTTTTCCGGAAGCTACCAGAGACCTGAATTGAAATTCAAATAAACTGCCCATCTGCACGACTGGAATACTGTCACTGATGAGTACAAGAATCATTTAATTTTTCATGTGCTGGGGTCTGATCTCTAGGGAATTAAATCCCACAACCACTGAAAAAATGTGTATCTTTTAAAGAAGATGTATGCATTGGCTGATGTACCTAAAGTTGATAGGTTAACAGAACTATTTTGATTAATGCAGTATAATATGACAACACACAATTCAAAGCAGTTTGGCACCACAACAAAGAATGTGTATAATACCCAAAGTGCACCACATGTTAAACTGCAGCTACAAAAACCAAAATGATATGGGCAATTGTCCTGTTAGCAATGTACCTAAGTTAAGAGTTGTGAAATCAAAGCTTGTATGGAGAACTTATGCAGTCCTCAAAAAATTCTCTCTCACTCACTGATTTATATTATAAACGTGTCCATTCTAATGAAACCAAAAAGGAAAAATAACGAATATTCTCCAGAATTGTTCATTCTTATTCTTCCCCCTTTTTATGAAATTGATAAATGTAAAATAGCTTAGGATCCTTTACTACAGGGAATGATATCTAATGAACTTAAAATAAAAAGTCTGTACTTGGTTACAGTCTCTATTTTTTAATCTTGCTTTCAATTTACTTGTACAATCAGACCGATCTATTACCATATCCATACACATTAAAAAAATTCTCTGAGAGGGGTTTTGTTTTTCATGCTTTCTCAATTGAGGGGGGAGTTGGGAAGAGAAAGTAGATCTTTGTTTGAAAAAAATAAAATAAAATATATTTTTTAAAAGTTCTCTGGTAGAAAAATGGTATAATTCTTGCCCAGTTACCCAGGTTATTGTCATATAAAAATAAAATCCTCAAAAGAATTTAAACAGGTAAGTTTTGGAGATGTTTTGTTAAGGCAGCCAAAAGGATCACTAGCCCACACTCTGAGCAGCCACACAGGTAGCTTAATGGATACCTTGGAGTCACAAAGCCCTGCCTCAAATACAAACTGTCTGGGCAACCACAGGTTAAGTCCCATAACCTCTCCATGCCCCAAAACAACTCTCTAAGGCACTAAATTACCCACATCTGGGTCAGGTGGAGGGTGTTTCCATGCCCAGAAATGCTGACTCCAAAAAATTCTTTTCTCCAGCCCCAGCTGTTAAGTGATTCACTGTAAACTATTCATGGCTTACACTAACCAATAGAAATGATTTTCTATTAAAAAAAAAAAAAACAAACCAACAAACATAAGAGCTTAGGGTAAAAATTTAGCATTCATTTCTAATCAATTCATTGATCATGATTTTTGTAATGAACTACACGCTGATACACTAAGCCAAACAAAAATACAATATTCAATAGCTACACATGTATACTCCGGTCATTTAGTCAACAAATTTTTGTTACAGCAGGTATAGTGTTATATAAAACACAATCCCTTCTCCCAGGAACACTACAATCTAGTTTCACAAATATTTTAACTATTTGTTCTTTATATTAAATTGCATGTCAGATGAGATCAAGATATATCCACCATCAGAGCAATTCCACCTCCCCACCCTACCAAAAAGAGAGAGAGAGAACATGCACAAAGTATTCAAAAACTATGGTAGATAATGTACTTTGGGGAACTGCAAACAAAAAGTTGTGGTGGCAGTGGTGATGGTGGTAGTAGTAGTAGTATTAATAGTAATAGTAGTAATTATTCAAATGTTAGCATCAGTAATTCGTTAACCAGTGTTCCTATGGCACTTCACGGTTTACAAAGAGTTTTGCATTTATATTTTATCCTCATAACAACCCTGTGAGGTAGGTGTTAAAATTATCCCCATTTTACAAAAGAAGAAACTGAGGTTGAGCACGATTAAGTGGCTTGCTCAGAGTCATACAGCTAGTAAGAGTCTCAGGCAGGATATGAATTCAAGTCTTCCTGACTCTAAGGCCAACATTCTACCCACTGTTGTACTATACTAATAATGTCCTAGAAGATGGTTTGTATGGGGTCCGAACAAAAGAAAATTTCCTCATAAATAGGGAGGTTCCTCAAACATTCCTATTTTCTGCGGATGACACCACACTAAAAGCAGTGTGATATGATAAATAACATTCTAGAATCAGAGTCAGGAAGACTCAGGTTCATATTTTGGGGGGGGGGGGCCTAGGCAATGGGGTTAAGTGACTTGCCCAAAGTCACACAGCTAGTGCGTGTTATGTGTCTGAGGCTGGATTTGCACTCAGGTCCTCCTGACTCCAGGGCCAGAGCTCTATCCACTGCAACACCTAGCTGCCCCCAGAACCCAGGTTCAAATTCTATGAGTGTATACCATCTGTGTAGGGCTCATTTGGATAATGAGGGTAAAAAGAGAAGATTTCAGGGAAACATGAAAGATGCAAACATTTGAAAGGCTGGCCAACAGAAGAGGGATTGAACTTGTTTAGCTTGGCCCCAGAAAGGAAGACAAAGATAAATGGGAAGGCACTGCAGAGAAGCAAATCTGGGCTTGAAGTCAGGAAAGACTTTCTAATGAAACTCTCATGGTAGCGAGGTGGAAAAGTGGATCAAACACTTAGCCTGGAGTCAGAAAGACCTGAGTTGAAATCCAGCCTCAGACACTTACCAGCTGTGTGACCCTGAGCCAAACACTTAAAAAAAAAAAGTTTGCCTTAGTTTCCCCAACTGTAAAATAACAGCACCTACCTCCCAGGGTTGTTGTAAGGATCAAATGAGACAATATTTATAAAGGCTCAGATAGTAGGTGCTACATAAATGCTAGTTATTGTTGCGGTTATGAACGATAAGAGCTATCTACAAGGGAAATGGGCCGTTTTCAAGCAAAGGGTGTTGTGAGCTCACGGGTGAGGGGTAGAGCAGCTGCCATCAAACTCAAATGGAAACTGGGGGACGTGGGGAGGTCAGTATCGACTTAATCTTAAAATGCACTGTTATCTATGTTCTATTGTATTTTTATTTATTTTGTTAGCTATTTCTCCATTACATTTCCATCTCGTTCAACTGCCATCAGGAGTGCTTTGGCCCATGTTTGACACCTCTGCTGGACAAGGCATTCTTTTTCAGATCTGAGTAAACTCGAGGGCCTCTGAGGTTCGTTCCAATGCCAATATTCTAACTCCAACATTATTAATGACATGTAAGACCAGAAAAGGATGTCACTTGGTAATAAACTGACAGAGAAGAAATGAACCGTCCCAATAACCCCTATCTTTGAGCTTTTAGATCGGGGTGGGGAACTTGGGGGCCCCCAGGCCACACGTGGCCCTCCAGGTTCTCAAGTGCAGCCCTTTGACTACATCCAAACTTCATAGAACAAATCCCCTTAATAAAAGGATTTGTTCTGTAAAACTTGGACTCAGTCAAAAGGCTGTACCCAAGGACCTAGAAAGCCACATGTGGCCTCGAGGCCCAGGTTCCTCACCCCTATTTTAGATACTAACAGTTTGTCTTGGGCACTCTGGGTAGATCCTCTATCAAGAATATGAGTCTCAGGGTATGAGAAGGCAGGAAAGGGTTGGAAGCTGCCTTGACAGAGGGATACCTATCCCCAAAAAATCACAAACTGAGGTAAGGGAGAGTGGAAGGTCTACACCACCTCTCAGCACCAAACTGCTCTCCCTCTTACTCATACATTACTCTAGGAATTAAGGGGGAGGGTGATCAGGCAGTGAGATAGACGGAGAGCGGGGCAAAGGGGGGGGGCAGGAAGAGAACACCCAAAAAAACCTCGAAAGAAAAGAAGCATAAAAGGCACCAAAAAAAAAAGTCACGGCAATACCTGTTCTCAAGTTGTGCCCCAGGACCCACGGAGACAAACAGCTCTAAGAAGCCCTTTGAAAATACTTTTTCACATGAATAATACTTTGCATTCATTTAAAAAAATCTTTTAAATAATGAACCATCCACTCTGACAGTTCTTACAGGGATAAGGATCACAAATTAAAAGTGTCTTGGCTGCATAAATTCTGACCTAAACATTTCCATAGCATCTCTGTATTGAATATACAGTGAATGTCATTAGTCATTCATGTGAATGTTAACCCATAATTTTCTTCAACTATAGGAAGGAAAAGCAAACTGCCTACATTCTTCTGGTTTAATGGAGTGCCATTTATTAACCATTTATTTAAGGAAATTGTGCATTTCCTCTCATTAGGAAAGTTGTCCACTCTGAGTCACTCCAAGTCAAATTCTGCTCTTGCTGATTAAAAAACAAATACCTTTTCCTAAAAGAACATAATATAAAGTATTAGAATGTCCTGGTTTCCAGATTAAAGTTCTTAGCGTATTGTAGGATTCTTTCCAAGTGTTACTATATGTAATCATTTTGGTCCATAATGTTATAATCAATTAATGTCATAATTGCCATCTTCAAATAGATGTAATTCCCTAGATGATGCTTCAAATTTGGAATTATGTATTCACTGTACTAGATGCACTAATTCAGGGTCGGTTTTCCTATTAGATTCAGTGCTGGGACAAGCTAAGCCTAAAAAAAAAAACAAATTAAGTCATGTACACGAGAATTATCTAAACCATAGGATTTCCACTCTGCTCCAATACAATGTTTCAACAGCAAAGTTATGCCAGAAGGGAATGTAAAGAAATTTAGTCTGGTTCTGGAGAACATGTCCTAACTTCCTCACTCTGGCCCTCCAAAAACATTTATAAAGATACACTTTCAATCATGCGAACAAGGGATAGTAGATTCTCATTGCTCTTTACTTAGTTTTATTGGCATCAAATAAAAACCGAAGAGATGTGTTGGACAACTACGATAATTCCTAATTAGAGGGGACTGCTGACATTATTTAGCCATAAACTACAAACACTTCTAACCAGAATCAATCGGTGACTTTAAGATTCAATTATACAAGTCTTATGAGGCAGCCTCGGCTGACATCACAGTCACTCGCTGGCAGACCTCACAAATTAGGGCTCTGTCGCTTGAAAATCAATATGTTTTATAGGTCCTTTTATAGGTAGTAATCTCAGCTTGTCCACGGATACTGAAGGAAGGGAGAAAAGCTGGCAGGACCAATTTAATAGAGGAGCAAATAAGGCCTTTGTGTTGCCACTCCTGACTTGTTGTGGTCTGTATTATAAACACTGACTGAACATCAAGTACTTTTAAACATTGTTCTCCATTGTTAACCAAGGTTTCCTAGTTGGGTAATTTGTCACTGCTTGCAATTAAACAATGCCACCGTGTATCACAAGATATCTTAAACTACCCTCAGGAATTGCACACAAAATAAACTAAAGGGCAGAACTAAGTCAGTAAAAAGGATGCTATTTCCAGCAGGCATTCTGTAATAATCCCATCTGAGTTGGGCTAGGAAGGATAAGGGTACTGGCGTGTCAAATTGCAGAACCGGGAAAAGTAGCAGCAATTTGATCCCACCATGAACTACCAAGACGCAGTGAGAAGATAACTGATGTATGAAGAAAGCCAGAAGACTCCAAGTTAGATCTGTCCCTTCGACCCTCATTTCACAGTGCTTTCTTCCAAAAGTCTTTCTCCACTATTTCAACTGTGTAATCTTTTAAAATTTAATTCTAGTGCACTAAAGTTCCAATTAGTTAGAACCCAAGTAGCTCAAAACCTTCAAACACAATCTGTACTTTTAGGTAAAAGAGGAAAATTACAAGAAAATAAATAGAGAGCAAGTATCCATCCAAAAAGCAACTTCTAATACATAACCCAACCTCAGTGTACCTTTAACCCAATCTCCTAGCCTTTGTAAATCTATATTTTAGTGTTCTATGGTAATAATGTTCAGGATGAGGGCCTTCAGGAACTCCAAGAAGCAATCAGTCATATTCACTTTATTTTAAAGCAGGAAAATTTACTCATATTTTTAAAAATATCTCAATAAGGGTTGAAATAGGAAACAAGTTCTAATCACTAACCTTCAATAAACCTGAAATTTTAATTACCCACAATACTCCACTTCGCTAAGAGTCTAGTTAATCCAGGTCTTACAGAATGGAAATAAAAAACAAAACCTCGAAATTATTTAAACATAGACACAGTTAATACTAAATTTATCTTCTGTATTCATTTTCTTAGTTTCTTACCAAGGCAACTGACATTAATTATTTAATACAAAACTGGCTTGACTCCAACAGAGTCATTAATATTAGAAAATACATAGTAAAATGTTTTTAAAACATTAGGCTAATGGACTGCAAAAGCAGAGGCCTATATGATCATTTGGATTAGATTCTGAATTACCAGTATTATTAATAATAAACATTGGTTGAGCACCAAGTACTTACTTTCAAATGCTGTTCTTAATCTTGAAACTTTATTTCCCAAGTATTTCTAACTCTGACGGGTGAACTTACAAATATGCCATACATATGCAAGGAAAATTTGGATATTAATATTAATTCTAGCCTTGAGTTTAAGAGTCTAAAGGGAGATTAGGCCTTATAATCTAAATTGACTATCTATTCATATATCAAAGGAAAACAAAGACCCCATCACTAAATCCATAAACTCAAAACTGCCTTTAAGTTGGAAAAAGATAAGGGAATAGCTGAGCATTTTTAGGATATGTTTATAAAATGTTAAAAGTTAATTTAGCACAAATATTATATCTGCACCAAACTGTGTATATACATACATATACTATACATACATAATATCTTCAAAGTACTGCAGTATTTTTCTTTTTGGTATGAGGAGGGGTGCAATTAGACATTTCTCTGACTTATTTATATTAACATCTTCATTAACATAGACATTAAATACTTGAAACAAAGTCCTAGTGTCTGTGGGACACTACGGCTAAGTGTAATAAGAAACAGAATTATCCTGCTGTTTGCACAACCACACACAGATCAAAGTGACCCCAGTCACCATGATGCCATCTTCCCAAGTTTGCTAAGTTTAAGGGGCAATTTCTGTTGTCAGTACTTGAAATCCAGTAAACACGTAATATGACTTTTTATTCACTGTACATACACAATGATATTTTTCATTTAAAGTTCCTGAGAAGTTTTTTTGTAATTAAAAAAAAGGAATGAAGTCAACCGTTCCTAGTCATTGACAATGGACAAAGTTGAAATGAACTGACTTGTTGGTAGTTCTAACACACGTTTTCTAAAGCATCCAGAAAATGTGGCTATCTATTGCCTCTAAATAGCTTGAGCCCCTCGTTACCATCAAACCCAGCATTCTTGGAAGCCTTAAGTACCAAACAAAAGGTCCCACAGTAGATGTACCACTTCCTCTTGGGTTTCATGTGTTTGCAAACGTCACCCTGAGTTTCCGTCCCACCTTTTCAAGAATCCCAAAAGCTAAACAAACCAACCAACCTAGGTCTGGTAGGTTAACAGCCAGCGACACCAATGGCTTGCGGTCAAGCTTTATGAGGGCGTATGGACGGGAGGTGATGGGAGAGGAGGACCCTTTGGGCAGGGCAGACGATCTTTGGGAGGATGGGAGAGGGAGAACGAAAGAGGGCGGGGTGTAGAAATGTAAATAACTGACTGAAATCCCCACAAAGTGCCTTCTGGGGTCCTGGGGAGAGCAAGGGAGGAACTTCTCGGTCCAGGCCCCACCCTCTCCAGGTTCCGAGCCAAGCGCAGCCCCTCGGGTACGAAGTGCAAACCAGACACCCACCCCTAGGATTTACAGCCCCGCGAGTGGGTACTTTCGGCATCGCTGCACACAACTGCGCGCTGGCAGAAGGAGGCAAAAGAAAGGAAAGCAGGGGGTTCAGGGAGGATGGAGGGGGAGGAATTGGGCAGTTAAGGAGAAGGGGATGCGAAGAGGGGTCGGCCGGCAGCCCCCGGAGACTCACCTATCCGGCTGAAACTCTCTGACAAAGTTCGGCGCAACTTCTTCATCTTGCTGATCTTCTCCGCCGGCTGAGACTCAATCAGGTCACACATCTGGACTCTGCGGAGCCCGGGAAACTTCCCGACACTGGTCCAGAGCCGAAGAAGACAACAGACTGAGGGGGGCGGGCGGGCTGGCGAGGAGGAGGAGGAGGAGGAGGAGGAGAAAGAGGAGGAGAAGGAGGAGGAGGAGGCTCAGCCTCGGGCTAAGCAGGCGAGGCGAGCGAGCGCAGAGCGGGAGCAGAGAAACTCCCGAGCCCGGCGGGCCCGGTCCCCGCCGTCGGGGCTGCGGGCGCGTGGGGAAGAGGGTCCGAGCTTTCTGCAGATGCCGCAGATGCCGCTGCTCCGGCTGCTCCCCGCTCGCGGAGGGGGCGGCGGGCGCGGAGAGTTTCTACGTGGTGCCCGGGGCAGCGGCAGCAGCCGCCGCGGAGCTCCCCGCAGCCTGGCGCATTGCACTCCCTGCGCCCCCCCAGGGAGCTGAGAAACTGCGGGTGGGCCGGGCCGGGGGCTGCGGGCTGCGGCCGCTGGGTCCGCCAAGAGAGAAAGAGACCAGGAGCCTCCGGGAGGGCGGGCGCCGAGGCGGGAGGGATGGAAGGAGGGAGGGCGGGGGAGAAGTTGTCGAGTGGCCGGCGCTGGAGCCGAGACGAGGGGCGAGGGCCAAAAGCGGCCCCGGGTCGCCTAGGCGGCGGCCGTCCGGCGGCCGGCTGCGCGAGCCTCGGAGGCAGCGGCGCGGGGCGCGGAGCAAGAGCAGCGGCAGCAGCAGTGGGCTGCGAAGGTGGCGGCGGCGGCGGCGGCGGCAGCAGCAGCAGCCTGGGCTCCCCAGCTCCCAGGCCGCGTCATCTCCCTCCCCTCCTCTCCCCCTGCCTCGGAGAGGGAGCAGCCCCCGGACGGCCCACGCCGCCCCCTCGCTCCGCCCCCGGCCCCCTCCTCCTTCCTATCCACCCAGACGCGCGCGCGCTCCGAGCCGGAGCTGCCCCAGACTTGTCGGTCAGTGTCCGAGGCCGGGGACTCCCCCAGCGGAGCCTCGGGGCCAACCGGGGTCTGGACGGGGAGGGGGTTACCGAAGGCTGAGGCAGAGCTGCGAGCGAGCGGGGTGGGGGAAACGTGGGGGAGAGGGGAATGCGGAGCTGAGCCCTTTAAGTGGGGCACTGAGAAGTTTATCGTTTTGATCGGCGATGTTTTTCCTCCCAGAAATTAACGGTGTGTGAAATTGAAAGGAAGGGAAAGAACAGTGAGCCCCAATTCTACCGTTGTTGTCCACAGAAAGGGCGATCAAATATGTCAGGGGCTGTGGTCAGTCCTTCAATTGCCTAGTAAGCTGTGAAGGGGAAACGCAAGGAATCATAAATTTGGTGCTGGGAGGGACCTCTGAGGTCATCGAGTTCACTCTGCCTCCTCTTTTCACCATCGGGGATACTGAGGCCCAGAGCAATGAAGTCCTAGTCCAAGGTCTCACAGCTAATTGCTGGAAGTCAATCCAGCCTCCTGCACCTACTTGCGGCTATGTTTCTTCCAAATCTCTTTTCACTAGTCCAGCCCCCTCACTTTGGCTTTAACTCTAAATGACCCTTGGAAGTTGCACAGCTAGAAAGTGGCTAAGTCAGGATTTGAACCCAAGTTATAGGATCAAGGATTTAGAGCTAGAAGGGACCTTCTGTTGGATCATCTTATCCAAAGTGGGTTCTCACCCAAGGTCACACAGTTAGTAAGGGGGTTGTCCCATTTTAGTGGCAGAGCTTGGTTCCACTCCAGACTTCTAAACCAGTATGTTTTCTTGGTGTCTGGAGGCAATCGGGGTTAAGTGACTTGCCCAGGATCATATGACTAGTAACTAGTAGGATTTGAACTCAGATCCTCCTGGCTCCCAGGTCCAATGCTCTATCCTTCACCACCTAGCTACCTGCTTCCTTTCTAATATACTATACTGCCCCTGAGTACCCACTTTACTCTTCATCCTAAATGGATAAAAAAAAAAAAAAAGAAATTCCTACCCACTGCCGCCACTGAACTGGTGGGAGTTTGCAATTGTACAGTTCTAGACAGACATCATCTGGATCCTAATAAAATGGGCTAAGGCCAAATAACCAAATGCCAATCTCCAAAGAGAGAGTAAAGGAAAGTGGGGGAGAGTTAGAATGTGTTGTTTTGGGGCACCAAACCTTCTTGTGAATAGAAATGTTAGTAATCTTGAGTCATCTGGCTATGTAAGCAATGAGAGAGCTTGGGAGGGTGTGACAATGTTGTTTGCTTGAAAGGAAGTTTGAGAGAATATGTGTTTTGTTAAAAGATTTTTATCTTGCAACAAAAACTAACCCCCCCTTCCTTAAATTGTAAGTTGAAGTACAGGGACTATGCCTTTGATTTATTCATAATAGTCCTGAGCACATTCAAGGTGTTTAAAAAATCTCAGTCAATAAGGACAAAGGGGGGCAGGGTAGGAGAGAGAGAGAAATAACCAACTTCTGACTTCCTTGAAGTCTAGTACTGAATAATGAAAAGAATTACTCATAGACACAGTATGTACAAAAGCAATAAAATAAAATAAGTTACCAGGCATTTTGATACTAGCTATCACAGAAAGCATCCTGTGTGGTCCAATTCAGGAAAAGTTTTCTTTTTGTCATTTCCTTATGTGACTCAGAGAGAAAGTTGTCAGCAGCACATGTGTAAGTGATGGAACAAAGATTTCCAAGCAGCATCCTGGGATGTCCATGAGCTCTCCCAGCAGCCACAAAGCAAGTCCAGATGCTCTTGGCAATTCTACCAATAATTTGCTTTAAAAAAAAAATACATTAATCCTCCTTTACCTCCACAATTATTTTTAAAAATAAACTTCACTTGATGAGAAGAATCAAAAAGAATTACCTCAAATTCATCAATTTCATCCTTATCAGCTCTAGCAGGAAAGATGGCTGTAACTTGGCTGAAATGAAACTTTGTAAGTATCAATGGAGATCTATTATCCATACCATCCCTCTGCCCCTCTTGGTTATCCGTTACCATAGATAATCCCTTACTATGGCTGAGCTTACTGTTAATAAAAAAAAAGGAATGGAAACCAAAGAGTGAAGTGACTTTAAAATGACTTCTCAGATGAAGCAGCAGCTAAATCTGATTACTGTTACAATTACCAATAATGATGTGCTTTCTCTTGAAATTCAATTCAGTTCTATTAAATAAACCCTGAATACCTACTATGTGCTTGGAAAATGTGCTTCATAACCTGGCCAGTCTTTCTTACATTTTACACTTCCACACACTATGCAACCCAGGGACACTGACCTCCTTGCAGTTCCTAGAACATGATACTCCCATCTAGCAATTTTGAGTATTTCCAATGGCTGTTCCACTTGCTTGGAACTCTCCTCCATCTCTGCCTCCTGACTTCCCTGACTTCCTTCAAGCCTCACTTTCTGAAGGAAGCCCTTCCCAATCCTCCTTAATCTTTGTGCCTTCTCTCGGAGATGACCCTCATTCAGCCTGTCTGTATTTCATTTGTACCTAGTTGTTTGCAAGTGGTCTTCTCCATTTGACTATGAGCCCCTTGAGAGCAGAAACCATTTATTACCTTTCTTTCTATCCCCAGTGTTTAACACAGTGCCTGGCACATATAGGCACTTAATAAATGTTAACTAACTAAGTGACTAACTCCTTGTCATTGAGGATGGAAGGACAAAGACAGAATGGTCCCTTCCATCTTAGACTTTACTTTCTGTTTAATAGAATTTGGTTGAAACATTGTGCAGGAACCTATGGTGCAGACTGTGATTGGAAAAGGATGACTTACTGTACCTCCTTCCTTTGAGGAGGACCAATGACCTGCTTGTTAATTGGATTTAAACAAGGTAGAACTGCCCAAAGTTTGTCAGCTTCACATTCTCCTCCAGTCGGTGAAGTCCAGGGGCAAGACAAAAGTCAACATTACTGGTTGTGGCCCAGGATGCAGTGGGTGACCTTGACCTTTCTAGATTAAAATGATTTAATCAGCTGGCAAAGGAATTGAACCCCTGATATTGTTTACTCCAGGGCTCTGACCAACTAATTTAAGCAACCAGAGACCACTAAATATTTGAGTTTCTGCATGCTCAGTGAATTCTGCAGAAAATGTGAAATAGTATATAATCCAATTCATAAGTAAAACACAGGTTTTTGTATGTTATAACTCATTTTAGTGAATTACAACTATATAAATAGAGCAGCTAGGTGGCACAGTGATTGAGCACTGGGCCTGGAGTCAGGAAAACCTGAGATCAAATCCAGCCTGAGACACTTACTAGCTGTGTGACCCTGGCCCAAATCACTCAACCCTGTTTGCCTCAATTTCCTCATCTGTAAAATGAACTGGAGAAGGAAATGGCAAACCACTCCAGCATCTGTGCCAAGAAAATCCCAAATTGGGTCACAAAGAGTTGGACGCTGCTGAAATGACTGAACAACAACTTATATAAATAAATAAATATGTATCAATAAATTTATTATATTAAAAAAGACTTATAAATAATAGAAATAACACTATTAGTGTTATTAATTCAATACCATTAATGTGTGGAATTATAATTATTAATTTGATACCATTAGTGTATGGAATTAAGATCTGGGTATAAGGATATATTAATAGAAAATTGTATTAAAATTTATATTGCTATTTCAGTATGATATAATAGGGAGCTGGCCCACAAGCCAGGAAAACCTGACCCATCCAGGTTTTGTGACTGAAGGCAGATTACTTAACCTCCCAGGGCTCTAGTCAGTGATCTAAACCTGAGCTGCAGAGAAGCCACCCCCTTGTATTGTTAGAGAGAATTTCTTTACCTGGGAGCTAACCCATTGAAATCACCAGCCTAGTCACCATCCCTTATTATAATAGCTGATAGATGGCCCTGTTCCATTGATCTCCACGCTATGTCTTAAGATCTAAAGAAAGGCCCCTAGAATGAGTCCCCATCACAGATTACTGGAAGAATGTGAATAAGGATGGGCAGTCATTGATGGGTTGTGAGCTCCATTGTTGGAGGGAGTGAATACATGGATGACATCACTGATTCACTGAGCATAAAAGCACCGATATTACAAATGGATTTGATAAGTCAACCATGTGAAAATCAGAGAGTCTCAAAGTTGGAAAACACTTCAGAGACCTTCTGAGACCATACAGCAAAAAATAATCTCATTAAACTATCCAATAGGTGTTCATCCAGGCTTCACTTGAAGAACTTAAACTAAGGGCAACATTAGGCAGCAGCTTGAA